CAGATGCTTCATATACATTTGGAAAATCACTGACACGGTGCATTAGCAGACTTGTGGAATATCATTATGCGACTACCTCAGAGAATGGTAATCAAAGTATGCTAAGTGGTTTGAGAACAGTATTTCAGTTCTCTTTGAGTTTTACCTGAGGCTTTACTTCAAATGTTCCGGTGAAAAATACCAAACTGGTGTTCTTCTTATTCTTACGGTTACTGACACACTACTTCTTACTTGCAACATTGTTTCGTTAACATCAAATGGAATCAGTTCCCAAATATGAGGTAGTTCGATTTGGAATGCTTTCAACTTAATCATATCCTTGAAGACTAATACTGAATTGTGCGCTGTATGAAGCCCGCAAGTTTGAAACGGTTGGTTGCTTCATATACTGATCAGGGAGGCAGTATCCATGCATGTGATCAGTCTAAATTGCGGATGAGGCCCGATCGGGTCGAAATAGCTGTTCATGGTTTCCTATATTTTCGTTTCCTCTATAAACGACAGTATATATATATATATATATATATATATATATATATATATATATATATATATATATATATATATATATATATATATATATATATATATATATATATAGAGAGAGAGAGAGAGAGAGAGAGAGAGAGAATGGAGGTGTACACTCAGTTGTAAAATGTTTATTGCAACGTTTCGATCCAAACTAGGACTCGTTATCAAACGTAAATGAAATGAATGAGATAATGGGATTACCGTCTTTCCGTGCGCCTATGTGCCGTTTGTACTTCTATTAGTCCACCAAACATCATGGGTTTAATGAGTGTAACGGAATGTTTGTCAATCTCGAGGTGTCGGTTGAACGAATCGACCGAGTGCAGAGTTTTGAGGATCAATCGTTACCCCTTCTTCTTAGCTCGCGCCACCACCTTTGCGTTATCAATCGGGATCTTGTGACCTGTCCGTACGCGGTGGTTCCAGCTTTGTGATCTCGAGTCAGTGCATCGTGTAGGTGAGTGAGTAGTTGTTTGCCTGTCTCTATGTAGTGTTGGTTGCAGCCCAGGCACGGGATTGCGTAGATTACTCCCGATCGTCCGTGCTATTCGACTCGATCCTTGCGGTTGAAGAGAAATGATCGCATGGTTGCCGCTGATTTATGGGGGATCTCGATTCCCAACGGTCGGAATATTCGTTCGGTGGCTTCTGACGTGCGGCGTATGTAAGGTAGCTTTATCCGAAGTCCTTCTTTTGTATGTTTTCTTTGGCTTCTTACCTCTAAGGCACGCTTTGATAAAACTCTTCGGATATGCGTTTTATAGGAACAATTGAAAGAGTCGACTTCTTTCTCTTGTCTTTTTCTCCAGTGTGCTACAAATTGTGTTTGTCCAGCGAAATAGCGTTTGCACGCAAATTTTCGTGTGGTTGCTGTTGTACTTGAGAATGTGGTCCGTTGTGGTCGATTTTCGGTTGACCGTGGTTTCTATTCTCCCGTCAGATTATCTCATGAGAAGGATGTCGAGGAAGGAGAGTCGTCCATCTTTTTCTTCCTCTCGTGTGAAGCTGATCCCAGCACCTGCTGGTTGCTCATCTGGTGGAACTGATCTACTGAGGAGACTCCAAGTATGACGAATTTGTCGTCCACATACCGTATCCACATACAATGTTATAAAAATTCAAAGGCTTCTGCAAGCATGTCTGAGAGGGGAGAACCCATTGCAGTTTCTCGTATCTGCTGGCACACCTTCCCGTCGAATTGGAAGTAGGTTTCCATACAGAGTTCTGCGAGTTTCAACATTTCGTCCACGGATAGTCTCGTTCTCAATTGCAAATTTTGGTCGTTTTGCAACAGTTGTCGAATACTTTCGATAGCCATTTGCTTCGGTATGTTGGTAACCAGTGAGGTCACATCGAAAGAGACCATCACTTCGTCTGGTTCGATCGTCAGTCCTTTGATGCGTTCCAAGAATTCCGTGGGACTTTTTGCATTATTTTGGTTCGCAAGTAAGGATGGGCGTAGTAGCTGGAAGAGATACGGTGCAAGATTGTAGTTGGGTGCTGTTGTGAATGCGACAATGGGTCGAAGTAGTACATG